TCAATTGATTTCATCAAGGAGGTGAAAAGGTTAAAAGCTACTATTAAATCGGTATATGACGTTGTTCTATATTTGATAATAGTAAGGGTTATTAATGAACGGTCGTTGTTAATAACTACCCTCGATGAATTGGATATACTCCTCGATAGAGTATTCGAGAGGGCCGTATAAGTTATAGATAATAAAAATTATCGACTAAAATATATCAACAAGTGGAAAGTAACAATGCCAAGTCCTTTTTATCTTTGAATTAAATCACATATAAGTCGTTCATCTTCGTGTTTAATTAATTAAGTTCCAACAATCCCAAAACCGCCCTTTTATTAACTAGTTTTATAAAAAGAGAATTATTCCTTTCCCTGTGGATACGAACTCTACTTCACCTATACTACGTATGAGTGTTAGTATTGAATTTTATTTTGACGCACCGTGACAAAGTGGACGTCAGTTTACAATTATTAATTAACCTAAAATAAAAGAAATACTATGTATATTCCTTTTATTTACTTAAGTATTGTGACGTCTCGTGCTAAGATTATATTTTTCCCCAAAAAGTAATTCAAATGACATAAATTAAATCAAATAGCATATACCCACACAAATATTTATTCACTTTCAAAACTAACTAAGAAAACTTTAGATAATCTACCTAATTAACTTTTTCTCAAATCTTTTTATAATTTCCGGAATATAGCAACTTAAAAGTCAATCCAGTATTACTTGGTACTAGAATTAATCTCATCACCAAGACAAATATGTCCCCCCGCCTCGGTCTATTCCATAAAAAATACCCAAGCACGAGAATTCTATGGTACCTTTTCTAAATTTTGAAGGTTTGGGTACCCAACTATTATCAACCAATCATCGAGTTTTTTTCAGGAATAATGCTAATTAAATAAATAATTCCCAAAATAATGTTGGGTTAAAATAATTCCCAAAATACTGTTGGGTTAACCGCGGTTAAGGAAAGCCGCCACTTCAAGTGGCGGCTGTTCTCTTACAGCACATTTTTCACAGATATAAAACGCAACATGTTTCAAGAATTTGTTTGAGGACCTTTCTGGTAGAATTGTTTGATGCAATTTTTGAGCATGTTCTTCATCAAGTCTAGTTTATCCATACCAAATTTCAGCTAAAAATACAATTGGAAAGGCAGTCAAATAAATTATTTATGAACACTGCCACTTAATATATAAAAACAGTGCAGTATTTTTCATCAATCATTTGACTGCCTTCCCCATTGAATTTTTATCTGCAATTTAATATGGATAAACCAATCTTGATGAAGAACATTCATAGAAAATTTCATCAAAAAATTTCACAGGGAAGGTCCCGAAATTCCCTCGGCCAGACGGTGGTTCCCGTCAGGCCGGCTGGACATGAATTGTTGTCTATATGTGTGTGTGTATGTGTGTAGAGTAGGGTTCAAATACAAAGAGGTCTTCCCATGCAAAGTGAGAATTAATCTTGAGCAATCATTTTCATATATATCTAATGGCTCAAAATGAGCCACAAATGCACTAAATTTGATAAAAAGTGCGGTGACAATTCCGTAAATAAACCAAAGTTTTCTGTAACCGTGAAAATTAAAAGTGTAACAGAAACATGAAATAGTAAACATGGTGAGGAAAAAGTGCAATCATTCGCACTTTGCACGGGAGCACGTCTTTTTATTTGAACGCTTCCCAATATATATAGGCAGTGGTGAGGCGGCTAGGGCACTTGATCACAATCCCCTGACCTAGATGTCATCTCCAAACCCTAGCTAGCTCCGTGGCAATCTTCGATCGGCCCTCGCTCTGAGGCAGTCTCGCCAACCTCAGTCCTAGCTGCTTCACCACTGTTTTTAAAATTTTCTAATATATATGTAATATATTTTCATAAAAGTGATACTTTAATTAGATGTATTCTAATTTATCGTAAGAGTTTTTAAATATTGTATGAAAATCCTAAATCTTTTGTATATTGTTTGATCAATTATTTCTTCACTCAATGTAGTATACGTTGAAATTCTCCTACATATTTTAAAATAAAACTATGTAAGTGTGTGTTTGTGTGTCTATATATATATATATATATATATATATATAGATTAGAGATCAAATACAAACCTATCTTAATGTACTAACCTACAAACTAATCATGACCATCCGTTTCATTTGATGCTCTGTGCGTTCAATACCAAATGCCGTTACGTAATTTAATTAATTGAGGGTCCTTTAAGTCTTTATATTGGATAAAGAAAACACGATCTCTTTCCATTATCTTTCCATAACTTGCTTTTCAATGTTATTTCCTTTCTTCCTTCTTCGGCACTCAAGCTTTATTCATTTCCATATGAAAAGTTAATTTCTTCTTCATGATAGCTAGAAATTTCCTGGGCATATCTTCTACTCAACCCTACTTTCGTGATTTCTTTTTTATTTTTATTTATCTCTATCTCCATCCCTAAGATATCTTGCATGTCGAAAAATCTTTTTTTGTTCTTCATGATATTTATTATATTTAATGTTTTAATTTTTGTTCTTTATGAGATTCGTGATCTTTTTTTCTTTATGAGATTTATTATGTTTAAAGTTTTAATTTTTTCCTTTATTAAATTCGTGCTTATGTAAAAATAAGAATGTTATGCGCTTAATTTGCTTGAAACATTTTATGATGTTCTTACATTGCTCATGTACTATGCATTATGTAATCACATGATTTTAGTATGCATGTGAGTTGAGTATATAATGCAGTTGCCATATCGATAAGATGCAGTATGAACTTACAAATTAAAGTGCATATGAGAGATCATAATGATAAGATTCAGAATATGAACTTATAAAGTGCATATATAATCTTACTAAAATGCACTATATGAACTTCTAAATGCACATGACACAATGATAAAATGCAACACATGAACTACTAAAATGCAAATATCATTGCGGTAAGATGCAGTGCGAACTTCTAAATGCACATGCCACCATGATAAAGAGCACATAGTAGTAAGGTGCAATATAAACTTGTAAAGTGCACATATCATTTTATTGAAATGCAATATACAAACTTCTAAAATGCACAATTGCACATGTTATAATGATTAAATGCAACATATAAACTATCTAAATGCAATATCGACATATTTATCACTATCAAGTTCTAATATGAATTATGGAGATATTAGAAATATATAATGCACATCATCCAAACTTAATATGCACTTCCACTAACGTTAATATGCACATTGAAGAACCTTAATATGCATGGACTTCTACGTTAATATGCATGCATTTCTACCTGTACTGATTTCTTACAAATTTAATATGTTAGAAGCTCTAATATAAACTATACACTCACTATTAATATATTATGTACATTCTATAACCTTAATATGCAATGCTAAATATGAAAAGTAATTAGGAAGTGATTAATTCCAAAAATCGAGTTATTTATTTAACGACTTAATTATTATTAATTATTAATTAAAATTGAAAAGATGTTTTGAAATTTACAAATGCAAAAAAGGGATTTCGTGCATGGAGAAAATATGAAATTTTCCTTGTTTAAATTAATTCATATGAAGATAATCTAAAAACTTCCATATTTTAATTTCCAAAACTTGGACGGTTGCAATATTAGTGGTAGGTTAACATAAATAATGAGATTGGGGTTCTATTTTAGTTCCTATTTTAAAGTGACGGCTCTTTTATTCAAAAGCTAATTTACCTTGGTATCCTTCCCCATTAACCATACATAGTAGTGGCCCATCCATTTTTTAATTCCATGTATTCACCACATAGCCTCATACGGTGGATGCTATACGGATAACTCAAATCTGGACGCACGAGATTAGTTTGTAGGTTTGCATGGGAGGATTGGTTTGCACGTGAACTCACCCCTATATATATATATATATATATATATATATATATATATATATATAGGGGAAAGATCAAGTACAAAGTGTGCTTATTGTGCAAATATTTGTACGATGCACCTTGACATTATTTGCATTGCATATTGAGGTTCAAAGTGTTGCACATTAAAATAACAGTTGCACATTAAGGTGCAACGAGTTGCACCCTAAAAAGTTGGGTTTTATTACAAAAATGCCACCTTGCCTTAATGTCATTTGGATCAACTCATCGGACGGTCAAGATGAGTTTGTACTTTGTAAATTAAGAAGGCTTTGTATTTGATCTCTATTCTATATATATATATATATATATATATAGGAATGAACTTGTAAGGCGCGCCTGACAGGATGTGTTGTGCGGACTTGCCCGTTTGGCGGTCTTCCGGGTGAATTTTTTTGATGAAATGTTTTGCTCAAAATGTGATCTAAAGGACATTTAAATAATTTCTTGAAACATAATGCGAAATATGTTTCAAGAATTTATTTAACTATCTTCCCGATTCCACTTTGAGATGACATTTGGTGTGCATGAACTAGACTTCATCAGGAACATGCTACAAAAAATTCATCAAACAATTCTACCGGGAAGGCCCTCAAACAAATTCTTGAAACATATTGCGTTTTATATCCGTGAAAAATGTGCTGTTAGAGAAGAGCCGTCACTTGATGTGGCGGCTTTTGTACTGTAAGAGAAAAAGCCGCCACTTGAAGTGGCGGCTTTCCTTAACACCGGTTGACCCAACAGTATTTTGGAAATTATTTTTAACCCAACAGTATTTTGGGAATTATTTATTTAATTAGCATTATTTCAGGAAAAAACTCAATTATACTTTTTAAGTAGATCCAAAACTTGCTTGAGATGTTGACCATTATCACTTTATATAAGCACAAAAGCTGGGACCGGTTAACTGTTAAGTTGGTATGTCATGAGGCACGCGAGAATTTGGTGGCCAAAACCCTCAAAGTCATAATTTTGGTGGCCACTAAATTACATAAATAGCTTAGCTTAGCAGAAAAATCAAAATAAAAACAAACAAATTAGAAAAATGCATGGCTATAAATAGCCTCTGTCAGTTTCAATGTTGCTCATTTCCTCCCACATATCCAACATTTCAGGCGTTTCATTTCTCTACGAGAAGATTAATTCAAACATCCTTTTCATCTCATGTAACAAACTTTTTTATTACATTTCGAAGTAATTTGCTTCAGTACCTCTTTCGCATTCCTTTATTTCATTCCTTTGTGTTCAACTTCAATCAAACCAATTCTAGTTCAAGAATTCCATCAAGATCTCATTTTTAGCTCAGATAATCATCTCGGTCATTCTGGATCTCTCGGAATCACCAAATACACATTGATCCATGGGTTCCTTTGATCAATTCAAGAAATGGGCATTGATATTTTGCGTGATTCTTCAATGTGTTGATGGGTTTTATCTCCCGGGCAGTTTCCCGCACAGGTATGGCATGGGAGATCAGTTATTTGTGAAGGTGAATTCTTTGACCTCAATTGACACTGAAATTCCATATGGTTATTACACTTTGCCTTTCTGTAAACCTTTAGAAGGTGTCAAGGACAGTGCAGAGAACCTAGGGGAGCTTCTCATGGGAGACCGAATTGAGAACTCTCCCTACAGATTCAAAATGCGTACGAATGAGAGCGAGATTTTCTTGTGCAAAACCAGTGCTTTATCAGCTGATAAGTTCAAGATTCTTAAGGAAAGGATTGATGAGATGTACCAGGTTAATCTGATTCTTGATAATTTGCCTGCAATTAGGTATTTGAACAAGGATGGTTTCCTTCTTAGATGGACTGGTTATCCCGTTGGGGTCAAGGTCCAAAATTCATATTATGTGTTTAATCATTTGAAATTCACAGTTTTGGTACATAAGTATGAGAGAACTAGTGTCCCTAATGTGATTGGGGCCGCTGATGGGGCCGAACTTATAGTCGGAGAGGACAATTATACTAAAGTTGACTCGGCTCCAGGGTACATGGTTGTAGGGTTTGAAGTGGTCCCATGCAGCTTTCAGCATGATGCAAAAGCTGTTGTGAATCGATCTATGTATGATAAGTATCCCACATCGATTCAATGTGATCCAGCCACGGTGTCCATGATGATCAAAGAAGGCGACTCACTGGCTTTCACCTATGAGGTCTCCTTCGTGGAGAGTGATATCAAGTGGCCATCTAGGTGGGATGCGTATTTGAAGATGGAAGGCGCTAAAGTTCATTGGTTTTCAATCTTGAATTCGCTCATGGTCATCACGTTCCTAGCTGGGATAGTTCTAATCATTTTCTTGAGGACAATCCGAAGAGATTTGGCTAGGTATGAGGAGCTTGACAAGGAGGCTCAGGCTCAAATGAATGAGGAGCTGTCGGGGTGGAAACTTGTCGTTGGTGACGTTTTTAGGGCGCCTGGAAACCCTGAGCTTCTTTGCATTGTGGTCGGGGATGGATGCCAGATTCTCGGAATGGCAATTGCCACAATTTTCTTTGCCGCACTCGGATTCATGTCCCCAGCTTCCCGGGGCAGCTTGATAACTGGAATGCTTACCTTCTTCATGTTCTTAGGCATCATAGCTGGTTTCGTGTCTGTCTGGCTCTTCAAAACAATCAAAGGTGGTGATCCGACTGGATGGTTTTCTATTTCATGGAGAGTCTCTTGTTTCTTTCCGGGAATCGCCTTTTCCATCCTAACAATTTTGAATTTCCTCTTGTGGGGAAGCCATAGCACAGGAGCCATTCCTTTATTTACTTACCTAATCCTATTGTTGCTTTGGTTTTGCATCTCCGTTCCACTTACCCTAATAGGTGGACTCATTGGGGTGAGAGCCCCACACTTGGAATACCCTATCAAGACGAATCAAATCCCTCGGGAAATCCCAGCCCAGAGATTCCCGACGTGGCTGCTTGTCATTGGAGCAGGAACCCTCCCGTTTGGGACCCTATTTATTGAGCTTTTCTTCATCATGTCAAGCATTTGGCTTGGCCACGTTTACTACGTCTTCGGGTTCCTCTTCGTGGTAGTGATCCTCCTCGTGGTTGTGTGCGCCGAGGTCTCATTAGTCCTCACTTACATGCAATTGTGTGTGGAGGATTGGAGGTGGTGGTGGAAGTCTTTCTTTACTTCGGGTTCGGTTGCGGTTTACATCTTCTTGTACTCGATTAACTATTTGGTTTTTGATCTAAAGAGTTTGAGTGGACCTGTCTCGGCCATCCTTTACTTGGGTTATTCTCTTTTGATGGCTATTGCCATTATGCTCGCGACGGGAGCTGTTGGTTTTCTGACGTCCTTCATGTTCGTGCACCGCCTTTTCTCATCCGTGAAGATAGATTGAGGATCGGAAGGGAATATAAATTAAACATTTTTTTGTCATTGGGCTCTCTCTGTTTTGGTTAACACACATTCACACAATAATATGAAGTAATAGTTTTGTTTTTTTGTTTGGTTGAGATGAACATTGCTGGAGGGCTAATTTTTTCATTACAAGACAAAGGAATTATATGAAATATTGATTTTTTTTAATCTCATCTTTCTGTTTCAGTTCATATTAAGGAGTACTACTACAATACATATACAACAAATTATGAGTTACACCAAAACCAAAAGCCCATAAAAAAGTTGAATAAAGGTATTCACATTCAACTTTTGGAAGCATAAAAGAGTTAATTTTTTTCAGTACAGTTCAAAAGCTAGATGGCTCATGCCTCTAAACATTTTGGATGTGATATTAATAATATTTGTACGGTGATTAGAGGTCGTGGAAGATTCGTGTTACATTATATTTATCGGTGACTTATCGAGATACACTGAATTTTATTTCGTTAAATTTGAAGGCGATTTCTGATAAAATATTGGTGTACGTACAAATAAAGATTGAGATAGATATTATCTCAATAAAAATATCTTATCATCATGTGAACTTTAGAAGAGTTATGCACCTTTTTTCGAAATATTTTAAAATTGTGGGGGTGCTTAGCTAAATTTTTATTACCTACCTGATTGAGTGAAAATGAGTTTTATAACCTTTAGCCACTCTTTGTATAAAATGAAATAGTGGAGCATATATATGATTTTCTTAATGTGCCGGTGTGCAATACTTTAGCCATTCTTAAATTGAAGAATTAGTGTGCCGGTGTGCAATACTTTAAGCTATATTATTGTTGATATTAATGTGATTGATTTTTGAAGAACGTGAACACACTAAATGATGCATGCATTGTTATTTGTTTATATGTTGCTGAAATTTTGTATGCTTATTTCAGTAGCTATATTGAGTTGATATATGAATATTATAAAAGTAATTGTTGAGTATTATATTAAAGCCATATGGAAGGATTGTGGTATTTTACTATCATCATATTGAAAAACTTCTGAAACGTTTGACATTTCAATGTCAAACTTTTATTTTTATTGCGCATTAGCATTATTTTAATTTTCAATTAACCAATCTCGCACACTTGCATTTTATTTTATTTTTCTTTTTAATTGGTAAATTTAATTCATCTTTAATTCCATTTTGTCCCACCCTTTGGAGACGATACTCGTACTTGCATCACTATATTACAATCTTTTTAAGTGCGAGAAAACACGCATCAAGGACAAGAAGTTTTCGTCATCGTCGTAGTCTATCCATTGTTGCTGATTCTCACCGTCATGGATTGATTCGTGTCATCGTGTGGCCTTCATCGGGTTCGTGTTGTCGCAGCTGAAGTGGATGGTTGATCAGACGCAACCTCTGGTTGGGCAGAGAGAAATGAACACAACTCTAACGGAGAGAAGACGAAACATTTTATGAAGGGTAATATAGTCATTTTTATAGACAAAGTTCAGACTTTTTAATTTTAAATGATTACTTTTTGTCGAGTTATAAAATGGTTATATTTTTATCCATCCAAACTCTATATATAATATTTTTGTCATTCTTTCAAAGTTATTTTGTTCCCTTCAATTTAAAATTCTTAGTACATTATTCATGTTGGTAACTAATTACACCCTCCGTCCCAATAAAAACTCCGGTTTTGACTAAGCACACGGGTTAGGAAATTGCATTGTTTGGCTTTGAATTTCCATTTCTGCCCTTACATTTTTTACAGATTCGAAAGGGGTATTATATAGTACTCCCTCTGTCCCAATTTGATGGTCTTGTTTTTTTTGGGCACAAAGATTAAGAAAATGTGGTAGAAGGACTAAAGAATCTTACTTTATTGTACTATTTATCCTTTTACTTTTACTGTTCATTAAAAAGGAGAGGTATAAATGGTAATCCACTTTTAGTTCTTTACCAAAGGGAAACATGACCATCATTTTGGGACATCCCAAAAAGGAAATACAAGACCATCATTTTGGGACGGAGGGATTAAAAAACAGCAGCCTTTTCGGACTATTGCGTAGTGTACAAAGCATCAGTCATTCCAAAAAGGGAGGGACTAATTACCCCGCTCCACTAGTGGTGGGAATACCCAAAAAAATCCAATCCCTCTAAAAAACAAAAACAAAACACAAATTACAAGTCTATATATACGACCAAATCTTTCTCAAAACAGATAACATACAATCAACAAGAACATCGAAATCTCTAAAATAGTTCACAAACAAAAGGCTGCCAAATAAATCAAGGCAATGAAACTTGCAACATCTTCTCATCAACTACTCAAATGGATTGTTCAACACAGGAGTACTATCTGCATTTGCACAAGAATTTAATGTGTCACAAAGGTGTATCTCATTTATTGGACATACATATGATAATGTATCACAAAGGTACATCTCTTGGGGTACACATATAGATAATGTACACAAACAACACACTGTCATTAGATGTGAAGGCATCTTGTCTTATATTTTGGGTACAAACAGACTTTCATCATCTAGGCAAACAAGATTCTCAGGCTACTCAAGTATCATCATTGAGAATCCATATAAGGGTGCCTAAAGCTTCCATAAGATTAACCCGGTGGCTTAAGACAGACATCACTTGGGAAAATAGGGCACACACATAGGCAACAACACACATGATTCTCATACTGGGAAGGTATCATCACATAATCCAGACTTAAGCCTAAAGCCTCCATAAGATTAATCTGGTGTCTTAAGAAAATCATCACTTAGGAGAATAGGGCACACACATAGCAACAACACACATGATTCTCAGACTTGGCAGGTATCATCACGTACAGAATCCATAAGGCTGCCTAAAGCCTCCATAGTATTATCCTGGTCACTTAAGATCATCATCACTTAGGCAAATAGGGCACACACATAGGCAACAACACACAAGATTCTCATACTGGACAAGTATCATCAGAGAATCCAACTTAAGCCTAAAGCCTCCATGCATAGGATTAACCTGATAGCTTAAGACAGTCATGACTTAAGCAAATAGGGCACACACATAGGCAACAACACACATACTTCTCAAGCTGGACAGGTACCATCACAGAATCCAGACTTAAGCCTATGGAGGCTTTAGACATCCTTATATAGATTCTGTGATGATGGTCCATGCATCCATATTGAAATCATTTCATCAATGAACTCTTCAACATTTGGGTCTGGATGCGGAGAAACAAATGCAGGTAGAAAATAATCCACTGTCTTTATATCCATTGGACGACTAAGTAGCATGGAAACGGGAAACGTGAAACGGGAAACGGGAAACGAGAGGAACGTGATTTCTAGAAAATATAGGATACGAAACATGGGGGAAACGCGTAAGTATTAAAAAATTTAATGATATGTTTGTAAATGTTTGTTCATATATGTACACATATTTTCTCACACACACAATCATTATATTTTTGCTTAATAGTCCGATAATAAAAACATTCTATATGTTTAAGTTTAGAGATAATTATATATTATAATTTAGAATGTAATTCATTCGTAGCAATGCATTGTGTTATGAAATGCCAAATTGTTGCTATGAAGAAATAAGACAAAAAACACATTTTTAAAAAATAGACACTCTTTTCCATCATAGGACCTCTTTAAAAGGAAAAAAATTAAAATCCAGGGTTTCCGAAACGCTAATTATTTTGGGAAACGTGTTTCCCAATTCTTCTTAATTACGGAAACGGCCTAGAAATGGGAATTTGAAGTTTTCGAGTTTCCGACACGCTTCTGAGTTTCCGAAATGGGGAAACGTGAGCCGCGGAGAGTTTACGTGCTTCATAGCTGGACTAAGGTAAATGGCTACCATGATCTCAATGGAGGCTGGAATCCCGGTGTCCGGTCGTAACCCCTCTTTTAATACATCTTCTGCCCACCATCACGCTCCAGACTTCTTGTGACACCGCACCCGTGTGCACCTGAATGTACTATTTGAAAGTTTCGTATTTGATGTATTGAACTTATTATTACCAGCCGTGTGTAACACGTGTGTTAGTTTATGTAACTCATGTCACAACATTGTGTAAAACGAGTATCGTTTGATGTAACTTGTGTTTGTTAACCTATCGTTGGAATCTGTGCTTCGTGAGTGAGTTCCCAAATACTTTATGTGGGCCATCTTGGTTAGTATAAGATCCCAATATTTTATGAAGAGAAATCACATTACGAGGACACAAATAATAAGACTCAATTTTCCTTCGTGAGGAAGTATCGGTAAAGATTTTACTTCCGGACTGACTTGGACCGAAGGGGGTGCGTCCCACACCTCCTTGGCACTTAAAAGACAAAGAGAATATGGTATTTTGACCCTTGGGGCGGACCATTATGGAGTGGGGTTGTATAGAGAATAAAATGATAAGTATTGGACCCCATTTGTACTTAATTGTGACACTTGGTGGAGAATCACCCACATCCCATTCATTCCACTCCACACAAAAGGAATAACCTTTTGGGAGGCCTAAGGGGCACCCTTAGTACCCCCATACGGACTTAGTTGACTTCTGGGAGAAGGGAATCGCACAGACCAAAGAAAGAGAGAAAAGGGAGAGCTGTTCGCAGTTTCTTGCTACTGTGCATAGGGTTGATTGTTCGGCCCATATCTTGAGCTTCACTCGTTCAAATCAGGCGTGTGAGGTGTCCAGAGAAAGATTTGAAAACGAGGATTCTGGAATGGTGTAGATCGCGACGATCCGAGTTGTGGAAGGCTTCCAAATCTGTGTTGGAAAGTACGAACTCGCAGCAGGGTTTCTTCTTCGCTTGAGGTGAGTTGAACCCGAAACCTTCCTCTTCTTTACATAGTTCGTATGTAAGGTTTAGGAGGATATTCTACCTTGTTCTTAGGGTAGAATGTGTTCTTGAAATGATGGTTATGTGAGTTTAAAGGTTAGATACTAACCTAGAACGAACCTTGTAAGGTTAAGAGGCGAACTCGTCGGGAAACACCCTTTCTAGAGGGCTGCTTAGTTTCGTGGGCAGAGAGTGAAGCCAACTGCTAGGAGCAGGCTACTGCTCACCCATCCTTAAGCAAGGAGTCAGATGTCAACTATCTTTGGCCGAGGCTTGGTCGTTGGAACGTGAAAGAGAAGTCTAAAGCTCATTAAGGTGAGGACGACATCTAGTTTCTTACAACTTGTAGGTT